CCAGGCCAGCCCTACACAAGGCTGTTGCCTCGATTCGCTTGGTAAACCTACCAAAGAGGATGTGATCTAGTGAACTTGTCCCATGTATGGATTAGATACCATGTAAGTATTGAGAGTAACGTACATTCATTATGTTACATGGATGAAAAAGGCGGTGGCTGCCAATAGATGTGACTGCCTGCAACATGTCACCAGCCTGGCCATTCATTCAATTTTATAACGGAGCCATTTTCTGAAAGTCTATGAATACACATTTCATACTTATGGCATGCGTGAACTACTGTTACTGTTTTTTCCTTAATACCCAAAAACCGTTGCCGTACCGACATTTTGTACATGTCAAGTACGGGAAGGGTGCATTAAGGCAACGTAGGGGGGAAGGGTTACTCTTTGAGAGTGATTCGTAAATCGTCGCTCATGACACAGACAGACAGACAGATTGTATTTCAGTATAAGGCTACTGATCAACAGAGCATTTATACACATTAAATAGATATACAACATGTTATAATTATCCCACGCAACAATGAAGTTGCGGGGGATATAGAAACGAGTTCCGTCCGTCCGTGAGTCTGTCCGTGCGTCCGTCCGTGCGTCCGTCACACTTTGTCCGAAGCATATCTCCTAATCTATTGGTGATAGATTAACCAAACTTGGTACACAGGTCAAGCATGATCCCTAGATGTGCTTTTGGGGGGTTAGACCCAGATGCGAATTTTATTTTTTGCGGTTTCCATGGAAACATGACTTAGGCTGTGACTATGAGGATGTCATCTTGTCCGGAGCAGATCTCCCAAACTATACATGCTAGCTTCATCAAACTTGGTACACATATCAAGCATGATCCCTAGATGTGCCTTTTGGGGGTTAGACCCAGATATGAATTTTATATTTTGCTCTTTCCATGGAAACATGACTTAGGCTGTGGCTATGAGGATGTCATCTTGTCCGGAGCAGATCTCCCAAACTATACATGTTAACTTCATCAAACTTGGTACACATATCAAGCATGATCCCTAGATGTGCCTTTTAGGGGTTAGACCCAGATATGAATTTTATTTTTTTGCGGTTTTCATGGAAACATGTTGCATTTCCATGGCAACAAGTTAGACTTAAAGTGAATTTGGTGGTAGTGCTCCTTTCTGGAGCAGATCGTAAAAACCTTATAATACTCTCCTTCCACTTTGCTGTATACACTCCAAAACATTTGACAAAATAGTAATCATCTCTTGCATAATCTTTCTTCCCTCGGCATATTGGAAGTTAGAACATCGTATGCTAATATTTTGCCTATTTAAAGTGTCAGATATGTCATGGTACATTCGAACTTCGCTTGTGGCAGACAGTACTTATCAATATGGAAATTCTTATCGCCTATACAACGCACAACCACACGTACTTAAATATCATTCATCTGGAGTAGACACATGCGCAGTAAGACGTATTAGGACTCTTAATAGTTAGCTCATTCTAATTAAATAAGTGTCTTCTTTTGTGATTGACCGCCTCCGTGGTGTAGTGGTTAGAGCGTCCGCCCGGAGAGCGGAAGGTCGCGGGTTCGATCCCCAAAGACGTTAAAATATGGTACTTGTTGGTCCCTGCCTGCCGCTCGGCAATAATGGGTACAACAAGGACTGGTCAGCTCGGAGTCAGTATAATGTGTCTGAGTGGGGTATTCATGCTTCACTGCGACATGGTATCTCAGTGGGCTAGCACTATAAAACACCTTTCTGGGCCAGTACAAGCAGCCGCACATACACATACACACGCATGCACGTCGTCATAAGAGCGAAATATTTTCAAGCACGACGTTAAACCCAATTTCACCTCACCTCACCTCACCTTTTGTGATTACTTCATGTTGTTCCACTGAGATCGGTACGTTTTTCAGTTTACCGTAAAAAATAGGCGCAAGTTGCTTTTGTTAGAATTCCCAAAATCCTTGGGATCCTTCGTGCATTCGAAGACTTTATATATTTATGTTTCTGTTTATATCGGTAATCGTTTGCCTAATATTATTCTCTTGTCATTCGCACTGCCAGTGGTGGGATTGTGGTATAGCTTAGTGGTTAAAGCGTTCGCTCGTCACGCCGAAGTTCCGGGTTTGACTCCCTGCATGGGTACAATGAGTGAAGCCCATTTTTTCTGGTGTCCCCCGCCGTGATGTTGCTGGGATATTTCTAAAAGCGGCGTAAAACTAAACTCACTCTTAACTATTCAGACACAACATATCTATTTATCCGCCTGTTAAGGATTGACATGAAATTTGTTCAAAGATATTGGATACATGGTGTCAAGCCGACCTAACGTTAACCTAATGGGAAGCAGTGTTTAGGGTGACATAGCGGGAAGTTCATATGTGAACAGCACGAGGCAAGTACCTTAAACATCACCCTCCCCACCCCACACCCTCACTTAACCACATCTCATTTGGGTGATTTATGGTGAATGGTTAAAAGAGGCATTTCAACCACTAGATTCGTGACATCCGCTGCCATTTAGGAGAAAAGCCACGGGCCAAAGCCAAAAAAAGAAAAAAGAAAAGAAAAAGCATTATTTATTCAAAGCTTTACGATATGTAACGTCAAGCCATCCTGACCGACTGGTAATGTCTGCAATATTAACAGAGAATTAACATCTCTTATTCAGTGGCGTTAAGCTCGTCGCGGCCACAAGTTTCGCTGATCATCTAAATTTTACTGCTAACAGTCATGATATCAGTTTTAAGAAACCAAATTGTGTAAAAAATGAGCTAGTGAGTTTAGCTTTACGCACAAGCAACATCTCGGCGGGGAGCACCAGGAATATAATCTTCACACATTGTACCCCTGTGGGGAATCGAACCCGGCATGACGAGCGAACGCTTTAACCAATAAGCCACCTCACCGCCCCTAAATATACAAATAAATACTAAAGCAATAAATTGCCTGCGAATTCCATCATGTTCCTTTCGATTTCCCGAGCCTTGCTTTGTAAAACATTGTAGCATTAACATATTTTACGATTATACCTGACTCGCCATGTTGATACCATAAAGCAGGTTAAGAATCTTGAAAAATCTGACAGTTTTATTCAGTTTTTGCTTGGAGACACGACCAGAATGTGCATGTGTGCCACTTCAAGCCATAAAGTTTGAGTGTATCTTACGCTAGCTTCCTTTACCACATAGATATTGAACTTGCAATAACCATATATGCATAGGGATTTGCAATTCATGATTTAGGTGAAACTTTCATATGCAATATGTTTTATTCGGATACGCAATAAGCACTTGGTATGAATCATGATTGATACAGATTAATAAATGCCAAAATATAACTGTGAAAAAATTGTATGTATGTGTATGTGTGTGTGCGTGTGCGTGCGTGCGTGCGCGCGCGCGCGTGTGTATGTTGGTGTCATCGTACCATCAAATGTGTTGTCACGGACAAAACTGATGATAATCAGCACAATATTGCAACAAAACATGGAAAATTGAATGGAACATTTTGTAGGCAGTTTGAGCCATGTAAACAGAATGTGTTATCGTGTGACGAACAAAACACAGACACCATGATATCTGTGTGATCGGCTGCCAAGCTTTGATAGCACTGGTAGCGGGCAGGGTTACAGCAACTGTAACTGTCCTGGCAAATGTTCATGAAAGCAGGCGGTGTCTATGTTAACAATCAGGTAGCATGTGTTCAAGCCACTGTCAATAGTTTCATGCCAGGAATTGAAAATGTTTGAATAAATACACATACGGGTGTAGGCAGTAACTCGTTATACATACAGGTGTACACAGTTACTCGTTATACATACTGGTGTAGACAGTTACTCGTTATACATACGGGTGTAGGCAGTTACTCGTTATACATACTGGTGTAGACAGTTACTCCTCATACATATGTATGTAGGCAGGTATTTGTTATACACACGTGTGTAGACAGTTACTCGTTATACATACGTGTGTAGGCAGTTACACCTCGTACTATGTAGATAGGCAGGTGCTCGTTCTACATTCGTGTGAAGGCAGTTACTCGTTATATACACGGGTGTAGACAGTTACTCGTTATACACACGGGTGTAGACCATTATTCGTTATACATACGGGTGTAGACAGTTACTCGTTATACATACGGGTGTAGGCAGTTACTCGTTATACATACGAGTGTAGGCAGTTACTCGTTATACACACGGGAGTAGGCACTTACTTGTTATACACATGGGTTAGACAGTTACTCGTTATACAAACGGGTGTAGACAGTTACGCGTTATACAAACGGGTGTAGACAGTTAGTCGTTATACACACGGGTATAGACAGTTACTCGTTATACACACGGGTGTAGACATTTACTCGTTATACACACGGGTGTAGACAGTTAGTCTTTATACACACGGGTATAGACAGTTACTCGTTATACACACGGGTGTAGATATTTACTCGTTATACACACGGGTGTAGACAGTTACTCGTTATACATACAGGTGTAGACAGTTACTCGTTATACATACAGGTGTACACAGTTACTCGTTATACATAGAGGTGTACACAGTTACTCGTTATACACACGGGTATAGACAGTTACTCGTTATACACACTGGCGTAGACATTTACTCGTTATACACACGGGTGTAGACAGTTACTCTTTATACACACGGGTATAGACAGTTACTCGTTATACACACGGGTGTAGACAGTTACTCGTTATACATACAGGTGTACACAGTTACTCGCTATACATACAGGTGTACACAGTTACTCATTATACATACGTGTGTCCGCAGGTACCCGTGATACATACGTGCCGGCAGGACCATTATTTTACATGCGTTGATGAGGTCTTGACATCTGCTGAATGACTTCCAAGACCACTGCAAGAGTGATCGTAACAGTTTATTCTACCAAAAATCTGTCAATTTTGTTTACAAAAAGCAAAATAATTTCTGTTAAAATATCCTGAGAGAAAGAAATACAGGATCACAGGAAAATTCAAGCGTTCCTTTATTATTTTCCAGTTTTCATCACCACAGCGCTATTCAAAGCTGGTGATGAAAACTGGAAAATAATAAAGGAACGCTTGAATTTTCCTGTGATCCTTTATTTCTTTCTCTCAGTATATTTTTCAACTGAACTGGCAACAGAACATCCATTTTGAGGCTAATATTGAATTAATCACTCTATGCTGAGCTCAAATACTGTTTGTGATTTCAATACTGTTTCAAATACAAATTGGCAGTTATCAATAAAAAAATATATATTTTAACTCGATTCAGTTCTTGTGAACATACTTTTTTACTTTTTCCACCAAGGGACTGAATTTAGTTCTACGCCGCTTTTAGCAATATTCCAGCAATATCACGGCAGGGGTAGGTAAGGACATAAAATAATATGTCAACAATGCACAAGTTGGTGGTTAACAATCAAATGTATTAACTCGATTCGATTCTTGTGAACATACAGTTTCCACCAAGGATAGACTTGTCATGAGTTCGGTATTATCCAAGCATTCATCCACAGCAACGGCCATCATTTCACGTAGCTACATTTCACAATGGCTTCCAGCACCTCATTTGACCGACACCCTGCGTGGGTGTGTAAGTCCTGTTTCATTCAAAGTTGTTTTTCATCGTGTGACGCCCATTTCTGGTGTCCCCCGCCGTGATATTGCTGGAGTATTGCTTAAAGCGGCGTAAAACTAAACTCACTTACTTACTTATTTTTCATCCTCCCTGACTTAAATCGTAGAATATATAATCCTGTACTGCTTGGCTAATTTGCGCAAAACAAATTGCCAACACCTGACGGAACGATGTAAATCCAGCTAGGTTGGTAGCAAAAGTCCAAAGGTCGATGGAATGGTGATCTACCTTCAGTTACTGACGATTTACATCCCATTGTTTTACATTGTGTTGTTCAGAATAGTTTTATGTTACATGTATATGCTAGCTTTAAATCTCTATCTGTGATCTTCTAGTTGTTTTACTTTCCTTTGTCGACAGCTGTTATGACATTACTTTATTTATTCTCAATGCATGACTTGTTTTAGTCACGATATGGCTGAAATACTGCCACATGTTGATTTAAGAAATATAGTTTTCCTTCAAGTTATTTTTTCTTTGATTTGAGTCGATTTCGGGTTTTTTACCGTATATATCCTTTAAATCCTAATTCACTCACCCATTCACTCATTCATTTCACTGATCCACACACATACCCTTTTATACAAAACCAGCGTCTTGCACAAGACCTGTCAACTGTGACAGATCATCACTTGTTCTTCGGGATTTGAAAACCAACCAGTTTTGTCTTGTTACCAAATGATTTATAAAAGTGGTAGCAAGATCTTGGAAATCTGGTTCTTCGACTGATATATATTCCAGTCTCATTGCGTTTTGTCACCAATGGAGCACACGATGTGGAACCAGCCGCGTATTTGACAGTCCGGTACAGGCTGTAGAGCAGCCCGGAGTTGAAATTCCTATTCCTGTGAGTCCTCCCTTCGAAGTTACCAGCCTTCGTCGTCTGATGAACTGCCAGAATCGTGGCAGTTCCGTCTATCACCGTGTGGTCAAGTTTGCATGAGTTCAACACAAGCCAGTTATCATAAGCTGGACGTCCAACCACAATCCCAGGGATGCTTCCCCAAGGAAATGTCGGATCAGTTATAAAATAATCCTCAGCAAGAGTTATAAAAAGTCTGCCTCTTTGTTTGGCAATGATAGAGAGTCTTTCTATACTTGTTCCTTCAGCAACTGTCACCTTTTGAACATTAGTCCTTTGACCGGTAATCAATATTGGATTCGTCGGAGGAAAGTATCTTGACACAATGGTTTTCAAAGTACTGATCAATCCTTCATCAAATAATATATCTCCATTTGAGTAAGCGTAGAATTTGGATTTGAACTTACGGATAACGTCTAAAAACATATATTTTAAAACAGGAATTCCGGAGGCAGCTGACTTACTGACCGGAAGTACCTCCCATCCATGTTGGATAATGTCATTTGCTTCTTTTATGTTGCAGCTAAAGAACACAGGTCTGATATGAGGTTTGAGATTTGCCCAGTTTTTCAGCGTGTTATTCCTCACCGTTATTCCCTATTCGTTTGCAGGCCAGGTGGTAAACATAGTCAAGAGAGGTGTGACTGGAAGTGAAACGTTGGCTTCTTTCGTGTCATTAGGTTTGGAAGAACGCGGAACGTGGAGACTGAGCCCGAAAGAGACAGCCCAGTGGTGTTGCATATGGAATGAGTTGTGCAGATACAGGTAGCCAAAAGGTGAGACGCTGGCAAGGAGCAGAGCAAGCTTGATGCAATGGCCGGCTCGCAAATTGAACAGCCCTCCAAAGTGTATACTCCGCATTGTGTTGACATGATCTGAAATGAGACGAATTGTTGTGTAGACATGAGCGAGTGAGATTGTAAGAGACACGTGAACTTAGATCGTAGCCTATTCCACTACTGAAACTTAAATCCTACCGCCTTAAAGGGACAACACTCTTCCAACACTCGTTCAGTGCAGAACATTATGTGTTTTCAAATAATTGCTTTTTATTTTCATATAAAATATTACCCATTTCTACCCAGTTTCTTAATTTCCTATGAAACAAGTTCTTTCTGTGTAGCATAAGCCATGGTCATACTGATATACCCCTAAGGAGATCATTTTCGCGGGGACAGGATCATCTCACTGTGCAGACAGTTTAAAAAAGAATACAAAAGAAGTGAAACAACCTCATAATTTTTTAAACTACAAGTAAAATTGATAGAGATTTTGTTGCGAATATGAATTTTTATTGAATACACTGTCTCATGTTCAAGGTATTACAAGGCCCAGTTTGAATGAAAATAGAATCTATTCCTCATTACAATTCATACATGCATGCTACTACTCGAAAATCCATTCTCACCAACACCCATCTCTCATTCTCTCTTCTATCATTCATCCGATGGCGTACCAAATTGCCCACTATTCATTTGCCCTCAAACAAATAACCCGTGAAGGTCCGGGTTAGAATGAGCCTTCAGTAACCAATGCTTGTCTTGAGAGGCGACTAACATGTTAACCTGAATTGTCAGCAAGATATTTTAAGAACGGTTCACTGGATTTTCTTCATAGACTTTCAAGACCTCCCTTGAATGTTTTTCAATAAGGAATTTCTTTAGTACTAGTTTTGCATTTTTCATACCCTATGACATTCATGTCAAGGTCAAAGTCAGTCTTGAAAATGTGTGTGTGTTTAAACAACTAAAGAGCAAGATGTTTTTGTTGACATTTAACTTCATCTTAAACTTTCATTACTTTATAAGTTTGATTTGATAATTTGCGGCGGGGGATTATGTCACCTTAGTGACAATGCTTGTTCATTTTGTCATAATATAGTTCCCATAAGAATTGCATGAACAAAAGACCGTACATGATATCATCTGAGATTTTATAAGGTAATGAGACATTTCTTTTTAAAATAAATGAACAATTTGGAACATTGGTCTTAATCATATATATACCTTAGATTAATAAACTGCAACATGGATGTCTAACCCACTTACAGACACTTTATATTCGCAGAGAATGGATTCCACTGGCCTTGCCACTGATGAGAGGGGAGAGTATACTTGGACCTCCACCTGAAAATATTAAGTAGGGAGACAGAGTTAAAAAATACAATCATTTTCGTGAACTTTATAAGTACAGAAACCTCCGGTTAAACATACAGTATCATGCATTAACATACATATAACAATATATGAAGTCCGAATAGAGTTCTTGAGGATGGCATTCCACTTCTCCAGTAGTGCAGCCTCAAGTTCCCGGATGTTTCGCATCTGCTGTCGCCGTGAAATACTTTGACCAATTTCGTCCCACAAGTGCTCCATGGGGGATACATCTGGCGACTGTGCTGGCCAATGAATAACCTGGATGTGTTGCTGGGCCAGCTACTGCATTGAAAATCTTGTGTGTGCCCGTGGTGCTGATTGAAGACAAATACGATGTGATTCTGAAGAATCTGCTCACGGTAATAAAGGGCATTAACTCTCCCTTGACAGACATGAAGGCATTCCTGTGATTGAAATTTATTCCACCCCAGACCATGACACTCCCATCACCCAGAGGTGTCACTAACTGCTTAACGTCATACGCATGATGACGACATAGCTATTACCGTTATGTGTCGCCTATGACGACACTCAGCTTTCATTGTACACCTGAAGAGCCGTTGAACAGCGAAAGATCTTGTGCAGATATAAAGGGAGATTTGACAAGAAGAAATATCTGGACTCCTATTTTATATATTTTTACACTTACACACAGGTACATACTTAAATGTATACATACATAGAAACATGTATACACACATATGCATTACTCTCATTTATTACACAATTGAATTATACACATACATTATAACCATATACATTACATATGTTTGACGTAAGAGGCGACTAACGGGATCGGGTGGTCAGGATCGCAGACTTGGTTGACACGTCATCGTATCCAAATTGCGTACATCGATTCTCATGCTGCTGAACACTGGATTCTCTTGCCCAGAGTCGTATATTGACAGACCGCCACCATATACAAAAGTATTCGCGATTTCCAGTAAATGTGGGAAATACGAATACAAAAAAAGCTAATAATCAAATGTAGATAGAAAACATATTACTTAAGCGCCGACGAAAATCCGCGAAAGTAACTGCGCGTGTTACGCTACTTCCTGTATGACGTCCTATATGATGTTTGCTCCAATGGTTTAGCGCAGACGAACGTGAACAAACATGGATCGGAAGTCTGCAGAAGGCAATAATAAAACGCTGTGGACGCTATATTTTCGTGATGTTTTGTTCACGGCGAACCAAAGTATTCCAATACAAAACCCAACATAAACCTTGCCAGCACTGACCCGTTGGAAACCCGTTACCTATCATTCCCTCAGCTCGGAGCTTACTTGATGGTATATCATATTCCTCTGGGTCAAAGCATACATTTCGTTGCTTTTTATCCCCCGCCGCGCGTTTAGCGCGAAGCAGGGGATATGCTATTAGGCTCCGTCCGTCCGTACGTACGTACGTTTGTGGTGGCAGCTGAAGCAGTAGAAGCTGCAGCTCTCTCACAACGTTTCTTTCTTGCCCCATTCCCGTCTGAGGCACCACAGAGCCAGTCCTTGGCTGATTTCTCCATTTCGTGGTCTGTTGCATTCTTAAAGGCTTGATTTCTTCGTACGGCTTCAGTTAAATAAAAACATTGATTTATTTAATATCACTATGATTGTAATAGTCAATTAGCATTTGGGAATTAGCTGTTATTCAGCATCTAGCTCATGCACTGAATGCTCAAAACTCATTTTGCTGTTTTCTAACATTTTCCCATCATAATTTTCAAATGCATTAATTTTAGTAATCATATGAACATTGTCTTAAAAAACCACAAAACATCCAGGGTCATTTACAATAATTCTAGAAGTGAATCACTTGTTTCTACCATGACACATTCTGAATTAAAATCACATGTCTAATTCAACTTCAAGCCTCAAATCTAACATGCATTTTCACATAAAAATCATTTTGTCTACTTGTTAGGTACCATACTGTTAGTGAATATACAACATTTATGTTAATAAGAATATTAACTTACTAAATAAACATTCATGCAGTAAAATATGACTCTTGATGTGTTTGCCTTTAACCGGAATCGAACCGATGTCTAAAGACTTTTAGAGTACCATTCAAAAGCTTCATTACATCTGATGTCAGTATTAGAAATATACACATAGTTGTGATGCACATAAAAGTATGGACCCATCATACTTGTGATGAACTAAAAAGTGTGTGAGCCTTTCACACTTGTGCAAGAACTAAACATATGTGAACCTTTCACCCTTGTGCAAGAACTAAAAAGTGTGTGAGCCTTTCACACTTGTGCAAGAACTAAAAATGTGAGCCTTTCACACTTGCTGAAAAAACAATATGTATGCAAATCTAAAAGGGAATTCACTGTAAGGGGCGATGAACCCTATACTTTTGTCTTGCTTCAGCCATAACGGTGCAGAACTCCAGCAGTATCTTGAATTGAATTTACAATGTAATATTTACATATTTCTTCATGTTGTTATTTGATCAAATTACATATCGTTACCCATACGGGTGAGGAGATCCCTTCTAATATCTTTTTGATTTTTGCACAGTGTGCAATTTAGCGATTCTCGACATTGATTGGTTGATCGTATATTTGTAGATTTTCATAGGATGCCGGAACTACTTTCACAACACTGTTCAATCATAATATTTCATCGATTCATTGGTCAATTTACCCTGTTGTAATTGCAATGATTCGAGATTTCAAAACAGAACCAAAAACAATCGATTTTGATGCTTATTTAATGCTTCATTTCATACTTCATTAACAATATGGCATCGTTTACGCAACAAAATGTTTTTTAGTAAAAAACGTCTAATTATATTTTGTAAACAAACATCATACATGGCTACCCAGTTAACTGCAATCAACGTCAATGAACTGGTCAAGGTGGACGGATTCATATGACACTGGATGTGTAACGAAAATAATACCACTAAAATCCTTTCGCGTGTATATGATAAACACTGAACACGGTGAAATGAAAGTCGCAAGGTATATAATATACTGAAAGTGTTGCCGGAAACAATATCAAGCGAGTCGGCCTCTCGCCAAAATCTACACTTACCGGAGAGTGTCATAAATGACTTACTGCAACATGATTGTTTAACCCCCAGTCGAAAACAAAACTTTTCACAGGTTTGTTTCTGTTTTTGACCACGATCTTGAAAACATATTGGCTGCTAACAAAAACTGTTGTCGACTCGGACTCGGACTAAATTTAGAGTTATCGTTCCTGACAAGGACATTGACGAGAGCCAAAACTAGGTCACAGTAGGTTTCATCAAAATGTTGACAAACGTTCATAATTGTGTATATCGTCTTCTTAAAATATAGTTTCACCATTCCTGCGTTTTATTGTTGCCTTGCAGATTTTCACTGTTTTATAAGTTAATGTTGAAAAATATTGACAGGTTTTTGCTGTTTTGTATACAACAGTAACCCACCTTCTGACACGAATAGTCTAGATCGACACATTTGCGACCTACAACTATATATTGAATATGTGATTGCACTCGTTGAAATATACTTAGACATTTTACAAAGGTTGATGAAATAGCCATCAAACAAATTTTGGAACTGTTGAATTGTATTGTTTTTCGTTTCGCTTTCTAAAATACTATCATAAATCGTGCTACTGGTGCATAGCGTCACCAAGTACCACGGCTAGAATGGTGTGTCACTCGCGGAATAGAGAGTAATACCGCGAAAAACGTAACACGAATTACAGCAGACCTTCTTGGTTAAGGATACAATGTCAGCACACCTGGATGTTGGTCAACCCTCGCGGAAGCTGACGAGGGTTTCTGGAGATTGCCGATGTAATGACATCGACATTCACTACACTCTCCCTTGTTTTATAAAGACCCTCAGCATATTTATTTTAATAGGAAGGGTGCCGCACCGCTTCTTAAACCAATCTTAAACTTGGTGTTAAAATAACACAAAATAACTATACACACTCACACTATCACCTTCCGGCAGAGGGTAACTCGCTACTCCCGGTTAGATACCCACAATCCCGGCAGAGCGTAACTCGCTACTCCCAGGGTGTCTAAATCCAAATACACCTCTCTCTCCTCTCCTACTCCCCGACGTAATGCGGAAAATTGCATCGCACATTGTTGGTAACACCGAGGTATGGCGAGTCCGTCTCCAGGAGGAGGTTGTCCTTCCAGGAAGGCTGTGTTGGTATGGACGCTGGCCACATCTCTGGGTCACAGAAGCATGTGACGCCACCCACCAGCTTGACCGGTTAACTCGGAGCCTGTACTGGTGTCCAATCCACGAGAGTGTCTAATGGAGACTCAACAGTCGTATCCCGGAACAGCCTTCTGCAGGTCCTATCCGCGTGGAAATGGCTGTCGAATGCTTCTGCGAGGTCCTCATCAGCGGGTGGAATGGATGATGGTAAGCGAACCACAAACGTCGTTTCAGTGGCTTATGTGGCGTCAGACGGGAACCTCTCCGCGTCTAACTGCTGACCTGGGTCTTCCTCAGGTGGGAGCCGCTCCACACCGTCTGCCATAGGTATATAATCCGCCACAGCCTGACGCTCCCGGAACAGATCGGCAATCAAGTCGCGCCGGGCTGGGGTAAGGTAGTTAATTACCAGGGCCAACCACCTTGGGTGTAGGAGTGCCGCTGGCCCAGCACCACGAGGAATGTCGCTGCTGCGGATCTGACTCCACCCGGCTGCCGAACAAAGGGCTCCAAGGCAACGTGAGTATCTCTGACATTCAGCCCTCAGAATTTCGTGACTTACATTCAAGACTGTCATCAACTCCTCCGGTGTCCCGTATCGCTGCACAAACAGCCACAGTGCCAAAGGTTTGAGGATGAACAGGCATGGCTGGATGACGTCCTGTGATCCATCCCCGGCCCAAAACTGTCTAATACAGGGCAGTACATGAACAGCAAGTAGATGGCTGTCCCGGTCCATGATGGGGGCACGGCAATTGTGTATGATGCATTCGGATGTTGCAGCTGCAGACGCTGAAGTGCATGTCCCATTTGTATCGTCAACATGGTCCACCGATGGGAGGGGGAGGCCACCTTGCCCCTCATCCGTTGATGTCTGCGACGTGCTGGTTGCATCCACCGTTGTTGCCAGAAGGAGGTCAACTCGCCCCTTGTCTGTTAATGCCTCGGGTGTCCCACAAGGCAGTATTTTGTCTGTCACGCTCTTTAGTATTAGAACAAATAGCCTTTCAGAGGTTTTAAGTGATTCAATCGATGGAACCCTTTTCATGGATGATTTTAATATTTCTTGCCGTGGTAAAAAATGCGAACTATTGAGAGACAATTACAAATTTGTGTCAACAAAATTCATAGATGTGTTTAAATTTTCGAAATCCAAACCCAATTGTCTACATTTTTGTAGGAAATACAAACCCCATAAAGATCCTGAATATTCATTAAATGGCAAACCCATCAAAGTTGTCAAGGAAGCTAAGTTCCTTGGTCTCATCTTTGACTCGCATTTAACCTTTCTGCCACATTTCAAACGTCTAAAAGCCAAAAGCCTGAAGGCACTCGACTTGTTGAAAGTCGTTTCGAATTCAAAGTGGTGAGGGGACCAAACCACCCTCCTTCATTTGTATAGATCACTGGTCCGATTGAAACTTGATTACGGCTCTATCGTATATGGTGGGGCCTGTAAAAGCAACCTCAAACTACTTGATTCTATCCATCACCAGGGTCTAAGACTTTGTCTTGGGTCTTTCAGAACCTCTCCCATCTACGTTGAGGCCGATGAGCCATCTTTAAAACTTCGCCGTATCAAATTGTCTTTACAATAGATCACAAAGTTATATTCTAATGAATCCAATCCTGCTCACAACTTCGTTTTTAATCCTCTTTATGAGGATTTGTATAATAAAAAACTTCACTTGTTCCTCCACCTCTTGGGATAAGAATCCAACAATATATTTCTGATGCTGGCATTGAGTTGGAGAATATATCTCCTTCCCGTCTTCGTTATTCCCCTCCTTGGCAATTAGTGAGGCCACAAAGTTTTAAAAATCAGAAACTAACGAATTACAATATAAACAGGAATATAATCAATTAAAAAGTAAATATTATACATACAAGCCCTTATTTACAGATGGATCCAAGGATGGTGGCGCAGTGGCTTGTGCCACTGTCGTTGGATCCAGAACAATATCTTCTAGATTACCGGATAATAGCTCTATTTTTACAGCAGAAGCAAACGCAATACTAACAGCTCCTAAATATATTAATAGACACCCCAAATTTAAACAATACATAATTTCCAATGTTTTCCAATGTGGCTGAGTCAGTGAAATACTAATATTTACCAAACAAAATTCTAAAGGAGCCTTTCTTCAAGCAGTGACTTAAAGCCATACATAGCTAGACTTGCTTAGATTATAGACTTCATATAAGGCATCATAGATATTTCAAATAAGATGGTACAGTACCCTTGGCCTCATTTGGGTATTGCCTCACCACTTGCGAATTAAGCGTTGGCAGATGTAAATGTTACTGAAGAAGTTGGTCCTCGCCAGCCATGGGCGTTTGGT